CTGTGGGATCAAAAGACTTAATGGGATATCCGAAAGTCCTGACTAACGTGGTTCAATTATTTAAACACTCTTTAATCCTCCTCACAAAACAGTAAAAATGAAAGATAGTCATACTACATAATGGAACAAAGATATCTGATTATTCAAATGTGTTAATCATCTGGATGAAGTAGGCAGAAATCTTATTAAGTCATGTCATGCTATGACAAGCACTATGGACAACTCTTTCTGAAACTATTGACATAAACCCAGAAAGCTCCTCTAAATGCAAGATAAGGGCATTCAGTGCAACGTGGGCAAGCACGTTTAAAAAGGATATTGGACTGTGCCCAATCCGTTGTTCATAAATTTCCTACAAGTATCTACACTTTAGAAAGCCAAAGCACATTTAAATTTCCTATCTCTGTGATAAGGCGCTTAAAAATATCCCCCCCACCACCGCATGGTTTTCCGGTAGGCCCTGCCAAGATTAGCTTCGTTCAATGAAGACTTCAATGAAGAAAGAGTGTCGCTGGTGACTTTTTGGCAGTTGTCATCAACGAAATAAAAGTAACATTAAGATAATGCTCAAGAGCATCTTCTCCAACTTCCATTCTTCAAATATGGGGGAGTTGAATTCTCATAACTTCCAACCAGCAGGGAGGAAGATAGGTTGGCCGGCACAATGGAAGTTGAAGTACAATGTATCTGTTCTATAGCTGTGCACTTCAAGGTCTCTGTTGTTCCGTGCCCAAGCATGAAGCGTCTACGTGATCTGGAAAAAATCAGGTGCACTTACATCGCTCTGAAGTTCATATGCTTTCTTTGCTTGGATCACATCGTTCTGATCCGGCAGACAAGTCCACTCGTGCAAATAATGATGGTAATCGATGTCGCTCGCTAAAGCCTGGCCTTGCTTGGCTGCCTGGATAGCCACCATGTCACTGGGTATGTTGATCATGGCCTTGGACCGGTGGTAGGCTTGCTTATAGAGACGGTCGTTTTGCATCTTCATTACTCGAGCAGCCCATGA